GTATTGTCTGCACTGTATTAGCAGTATATACTCTATATGTAGTATATAGTACATGTACATATAGAGGTCCTGCAACAATACATTTACAATGATCCTCTGCTAACATGAATGGGTTAAATGATCCGTAGTACATAATATGTAGCCCTGTACCCCCTTTTCCACTTACAGAGCTAGGTTATTGTTTTTCTTTTAAATAAATATTCATGTAATTTTATTGGTATCTATCTACCAGTAGCTGCCTCATTTCCCACCCTCGGCTTATATTCGGGTCAATACTTTTTCCCAGTTTTTTGTGGTAAAATGAGGTACCTCGGCTTATATTCAGGACGGCTTATACTCGAGTATATACGGTATATATCATAAAATACAAAGAGCAAGGGGGCCAATTTCTTCCCTGTATTCACACATGAAAAACTTGTCGTGCTAAGGTCTCCACACTTTTTCTGCCAGATGGGAGAAGCTGGGCAACTACCCAAAATATCTGCTACAAAGTCTAGAATCCAAATGTAAACCTTACGGAAGAGAATCTAAGCTTTTGAGGTGTTATACTCCAATTAGGAATGGCAAAAGATTTCCTTCTAGCTCACTGGATTGCTAGGGACAGGGGACAGGGACATACAGGCAATATTTAGTGCTGTCCAGTAGCCTCGTCCCTTTGAAAGGCAAATGATGGCTTATTAGTAAGCAATAGATGTATGCCCCATCATTAAAAAAAACAAAAAAAAAAACTTACCTGTGTCAGCACCACTTGCTCCCGGCAGCAGAAGTCCTAGCTCCCAAGCGCTGTGAAGAAGGAAATGTGGGCAGGCCCATGCAGAGTACAGATAGTCAGAGAGGAGAGGAGGAGAGCAACGCTGAAGCTAAATGGACGCAGCCGGGAGCGCGCGCGTCGCACAGACTCTGTGGGACAGGAAGAAAAAAGGGGTGGCGGTGGATCAGCGACCGGCACCAGCACTGGAGGGCCTTTGTTAAACAAGTGGAAGCAGGGGCGTAACTAGAAATCACAGGGCCCCATAGCAAAATTTTGTATGGGGCCCCCATGATTGCTAGTTATGCCACTTGCAGAGCCCACCTAAGATCTCACACAGCCGACCTGAGAGTGATCCTGCAGAGCCCACCATAGACTTTCTATAGTGGGCTTTGCAGGGTCTCAGATGGGCTGCACACCTCTCACCTGTCAGGGCTGTCCACCTCCATGGTCGCCGGGCCCCGCCTCCTCTTCCGTCCCCCACCTCCTCTTAGGTCGCTGGCCAGTGATGTAAGAGGGGGCAGGGTTGCTCTTAGACGGGCTCCGCCTCCTCCTTCACTGCGAACGCTGGCCTCTTCTGCCGTAGCTGCTGGCTGTCACAGCTCTGCAGCGGCTGTGAGGGGAAACGCCGCTGCTGAGCTGGGTCAGTGACAGCCAGCACCCTTACATGCCATAGCGACCCAGGCGGCCCACACGGCATCAGAGGGATGCTCTGGCCGGGCCCCCCTGTGCCCGGACCCCATAGCGGCCGCCTGGGTCGCTATGTCGATTGTTACGCCACTGAGTGGATCAAGAGGCGTGATGCGATATGTGATATAAGGCAAGTCCTTACAGCAGAATTGGAGGGGTGGGGGGATAATTGCCTTTAACTTTCAAAGTATTTTATAAATTTTCCAAGGTAGAATAAAACAATAAAATAGCACATGATGCACAATCAGTATAGCATACAATTGCATTTCAGATTCTTCCACATTAGCATAGTCAAGTAGTAGGAGGGGATCACTAGAAGCCATACACACAATATATAATAGTTCTGTAAAACAGAACATATCTATCCACCTATTCTTGCCAATTTATCCCCCATCAGCAAAAACAAAAATCAAAACAGTCTGAGAGGTATATCTGGCGTAGGGATCCACCTATGTCTAAAGCAAACATTTGTTATGATCTCCTCCATATCTATATAAATAGAAGACTTTCTGTCCAACATCAATGTACTAAACAGCTCACGTGTGCGAGCATGAAGAAAAGAAAAACAGACAAAAAGAGAAAAAGGAAATAGATACTAAAGGAAGTAGAACAGCTTAAGAGTCCGAACCAAATCCCTGACCAAATAGCCCAACATCTACTTAAATATTAAGCATAGTCCTCCAAAGAAAAATTCCAGAAAAAATGTACAATGGAAGTTACCCGGTTTCCAGCAACCCTGTATATAACAACCAGGGGGTCCAGGTCAATTCAAAGCATTTTTTAGTATCTTGGAGGATGCTGTGAAGTTTCTCATGGACCATAATCCACAACATTTTTTGTTTGACCAATTGGAATGGAATTGTTGGCGTTTTCCAAGCCCTAGCTATGGTTATTTTGGCTGCCAACAAAAAGAAAGTAATTAATTTATCCAAAGCTTTAGTCAGTCCTGGAATCGGGCAATTCAGCAACACATATTGGGGATCTCGTGGGACTCTCACCCCAGTAACCCTAAATATGAGAGCATACAGCCGGTTCCAAAAAGGTCTCAATTTGGGGCATTCCCACCATATATGATATATCGTGCCCGAGTGAAGAACGCTCCAGGTGATCCCCCTGGGGGGAAATTAAGATTGTGGAAGACGGGAGCCAGAGGAGTGTGAGGCGACACCAGCCCACCTCCCCTTCGGAATGAGTTCCATACCATCATAGAACAAGACGAGGTCCGGGCCATAATGGCCGGCCTCTGCCTCAGGGACATCCACTTCAAGGCATCAATCGGTATACCCGAGGCAGAGAGAGATTCCATTAGGATCCAATCTGGTGTGTATCCCTGGAAAGCTGAGCCACCCACGCTGTCTTGTAGTATTGCAAGAGATTGGGAACACCCAAACCTCCTGTCCGTTTAGAACGCTGCAGTACATTTTTCGAGAGTCTAGGATGTTTTCCATGCCAAACAAATTTAATAATTAAAGATTGGAATTTCAAAAGATCTGGCTTATGTATAGCTATGGGTAGAGCCCGAAAGTAATATAGGATCTTGGGGAGCATCGTCATATTGAGTGCATGAATGCGACCCAGCCATGACAAATTACAGGAGTCCCATCGAGACATATCCTCCCGGAGTTGGTGAAACAGGGGTATATAGTTTTTATTATATAGTTGTAAAAAGACAGGTGTAAGTTTAATCCCTAGATATTGCAAAGCCTACACGGACCAGGTAAAATCAAAATGTTCCGACAACCGTGACCACAATTCCTGGGGGATATTGATATTAAGAGCCAATGATATTGGATGCATTGACCCGCAATCTAGATACCCCAGCAAATTGAGTCAACAATGACAGGACATTAGGAAGTGTTATTAAATGAAAATCATTCCCTGGTGGGAAATCAGTATGATCAGCATCTCTTGCTGATGCCGACCATACTGATCGCTCCCTCGTGGGGCCTCTGCTAACATGCAGGGAGCGTTTAGTATGGTCTGCACCAGCCAGAGTGCAGAGCACACTGATTCTTCAATGAAGCCCAGGGATGCAGCCCCCCTTCCTGCAAAACAGGTAAGCAGGAGAGGGGGACATTTTTTAATGAACTATTATTAGTTGTGAGAGTGTGTTTTATTGTGTGTTTTTTAATAAGTGTGTGTATTTTGTTATTTTTTTTAATGAAGCTATGTGTGTGTTTTTTAATGAGTGTGGGATATGCGTGTGATATGTATGTTTTTTTTTAACCATGATTGCTGTTTAAATACAAGCGATCCGGCGTCTGTATAAACGCCGGATCGCTTGTACAATACGGCGTCATGTCCCCCTCTGCAGCCGCCGGTGCTGCCGTCAGCTTCCCGGGCTCATCTGTCTCTCGTGTGAGCCCGTGACCGGTGTGGAGGGTCTCAGATCGGAGGAGAGATCAGCAGCTTCTAGCCGCGGGGACAGATCGGAGGAGAGATCAGCAGCTTCTAGCCGCGGATCTCTCCTCCGATCACTGGACATCGGAAGTGAGGTGCATTTCATCATTTCTGGTGTCACTGGGCACATTCTCTGGCTCCTAGAGCCAGAAGAAGAAGCTGGTGAAGCAGATCTCGGCTTCATCAGCTTCTGAAAGACCCCTGATGTCTCCATAAAGAGGACCTGTCACATTATATTTGCTATTACATAGGGGACTTGTTAGCCCCCTATGTGATAGCAATAAAGCTGAGTGTGAAAAAAATGGTAAAAATTAAAGTAACAAAAAAAAATTCAAAAAACATTTTTTTAACCACTTGAAGTCCGCGGTCTTACACCCCCTTCCTGTCCCTGCCATTTTTCAGTATTTAGCACTGCAGTACTTTGAATTACATTTATTCCGTCGACATTTATGCAACGATGTACTGAAACGAATTTCGGACCATTTTTTGGGGGACTCAGCGCTTTCGTTTGGTGGTGTTTAATATTTACTATATTAAAAGGAGAACTATGGGGTTAGGGCTTTTCCCCATAGTTCTCCGAAGGGTAACGGGAGGACACAAACTAGCGTCCTCAAGTTACCCAAAGCTCAGTATAACGCGAGCTGCAGCTCGCGATATACTGAGACGCCGCAGCTGAAACGGATCCCGACAATTATGTCTGGATCCGCCCAGCTGCGTGAGTGAAAGCTGGCTCTGCCTATCTAGAGGTAGAGCCAGCTGTACCCGCCCCCTCCCCCGTCCGTTCCGCCAGTCAGCGCTGGAGGATTGGACAGGGGAGGGGAGAATCCAGTCACTCCCGTCACAGCTCTCTGCAGTGGCAGGATCAAGAAGTGAGCGAATGCCGTATGTGTTCGCTCACTTCCCGATCTACTGAGCCGACCTGTGACAGTTTCATTGTCACAGGTCGGCTCAGATTATGAGGCTGAGTGAAAAGCACTCACCTCATAAATCTCCTTTAAGGAAAAATTACCGAATTGTTTTTTTTTAAAAAACAGTTTCCCCTATAATAAATTATAAAACATGTATTATTACCCAATTTTTTGGTAAAATATTAAAGGCGGGGTCACGTCGGGTAAAAAGACAGCAAACATGTTAAGCCTTAAAAATACCTTAAATTACTTACCACCAGTTGAATCAAAATTTGGAATGCCATGAAGGATAACATAATGCAAATAAACTGGGACCGTGTTCATTTTCTGCACTCCAGAAAGGAGCTCGCTGAAAAACCTGACATACCTATATAAAAAAAGAGAAACCAAGAAAATCTGTATGGTAATACACAAAGAAAAGCGAACGTGTGAAGTAATTTTCCATGTTAACTACTAAGCACTAACATTAATAATATAACCACAAAATAGGAAACTATATGCAGTGCAGCAATTATTAATAAGTTACAAATATTTGGCCGTTTGAACACAGGTGGAATCGATGGCATAACACAGTCTGATGCAAATGACAGAGAATCTCACTGAAAACTTCACTGAAACTCCACTCCAGAAATATCAGGCAATCAATCACAATTAGGAATTAATGCATGATTTATCCATAAGACACTTCCGGGAAAGATGAAGGTTCAGTCATGTCCTGTCTCACTGATACAGAGTTCCATCAGTCCTCCACCAGTTTTACAAACAAGTGCCACTGGGATGCTGCATGAGGTGTGAATACAAAAACAGTCACTTCTTACATGTCTTCTGGTCTTGCCAGGAACTCAGACCCTTCTGGGATGCAGTCAGAAACCACGCCTGAGGTGACCTCAGTAGACAACCCAGTCTACATTTGAATAATCACCCCCAATAAAAAAAAATACAAATCCTCTATTTCCTTACACCTTCTCAATGCAGCGAGAGCCTACATTCCTGACAAACAGAAGCAAACCTCTTCCCTAGACTTAAAGTGACATTAAACCCTCAGATTTTTTTAACATAAAACAATACTGTAATGTGTGCCTTACTGTAATCCATGGTTGTTTCCCTTCTCTTTGCTGCTCTTCCTTTTAAATCTGTATCTGTTCTCATGCTGGGCAGAACTTCTGTTTTGCAGCAGACTGCCTTGTCTCTGGAATGGCTACATGGTGTCTGTGTGTACGTTTGCAACCTGAGCCAGCACTACAGGAAGAGGCACTGAGCTGCAAAGGGAAGTTCTCCCCAAGCATGAGAAGACATGAGGATTTAAAAGGAAGAGCAGCAAAGAGAAGGGAAACTACCATGGATTACAGTAAGGCACACAGTACAGTATTGGTTTATGTTAAAAAACCTGAGGGCTTAATGTCACTTTAACCCTCTAGTTCAACTAGGTGAAGAACATTGTGTGCATGGAGGATCTTACGGACTCTCACTACAACAGGAAAGAAAACTTTAGACCTACATAGGCATCCTGATTATATTACTACTTTCCATAATTAAAAACACCTAAAACAACAATGTCACCCTAGTAGGAACGCGCTGTAAAACGCCCAGGTGGGAACCAGGCCTTATAGATACATTCTTGGTCTTTTCTGGATATCACCTTCATTCCCCCCTTTGTTTCCCCCCTTCCCTCTACACCCCACTTTCCTTCCTTTAAATATGCACAAAAAGGAGAAATGGGGTTTAAAGAGGCACTAACCATTGCAAGGTTTTGGAGATTAAAAACATGTAGATTATTATTCCATAAGTACCCTAAATACAGCATAATACTAATTCATAAAAATAATTAAAAACCCAGATAGGATACACAATTTATCATTCCTTCTTATGCAGCCAAATTACATACAGATACCAATATACAGGATTTAATATTCTCCATATTGATCTTTTCCCTCTTCCGCCATGATTGAATAGGCATAAATCCTCTTCATATTAACCCCACCACCGAAATATCCTCAAACACGCTGAGGCGTGTGACGTCACGGCGGTGTGACCACCAATGCACATCCCTTATAGTAATCAAAGATTTTCAAAGAGATGTTTCTTTCCTAAAAAAAATACTACTATCAAACCATATAAATATATATCAATCGATTCAGATCCATGTTGTCCATACTTAAGAGAACTATGGGGCAAGTGTTTTTCCCCATAGTTCTCTTAAGGGTCACGGGTGGACATATACTAGCGTCCTCCCATGACCCAAAGCTCAGTATATCACGAGCTACAACTCGCAGTATACTGAGACCACCGCAGCCGGGACAAATCCCGACATTACTGTTGAGATCTACCCAGCTGCGTTACTGACAGCGGCTACTGCCTATCTAGAGGCAGAGCCAGCTGTACCCTCCCCCATCTGTTCCTCCACTCAGCGCTGGAAGATCGGAGCTGGGAGGGGGGGAATCCCCCCCCCCCCCCACCTCTATACCTATGCAGAGGTGCTTATAAAAAAACATGGCCTACATATACCTAGGCATAATGGGCTCTAATTTTATTACAAAAACTTTTAGGATGTTCAATACATTTATTTAAACGATTCAACAAACAGGCATATCACTTGATGTTCAAGTCCATTATCTCACTTCAAAAAAGGTTTATAGCTCAAAATGTCATTCAAGCCTGGAGGGATGTTGGATTTTAAACTGCACTTATTATGAACAAATGTGTAGAAACATTTTGAGTAATAGAGAATGGTATAGGAAAATAACAAAACATGAAACTGATGCCTTTAATACGGAATTCGTATGCATTATACATCAAGCTTATGTGAAGACACTAATCGACAAAGATACCCTAGATTATTTGGATGTAAAATATCCAAAAAAAACCCCTGTTTCTATGTACTGCCGAAGGTCCACAAGGATTTGATTAATCCACCTGGACGCCAGATCGTGTCGGGAATCGGATGCCAAATCGGAACGGGCAAGTGTTTTCCGAGTACTTAAGACCACATGTAACCTCACTTCCTTCGTATTTAAAAGACACCATTGAACTATTGAAGCTAGTCGATGATCTTAGCCTACCAGACAATTGCTGGCTGGTGGCACTGGTCATCGAGGCTTTGTACAATAGTATTCCACACATAAAAGGAATTGGGCTAGTTAAGATTTTTTTTTACAAGAACGTCCACAAGTGCAGTGGGGCTACAATGGGTTTGTTGTTGACTTATTGCAGTTTATATTGACTCCTAATGGTTTTTCTCTTTGGGGGATCCCACTACCTCCAGGTGCATGTGGTAGCGATGGGCACATGCTGTGCTCCATCGTATGCCAACCTGTACCTGGGGAGGTGGGAGCGCTCTTTGTTCTCGGGTGATCATGCACAAAAATGGTTAGATCATATCTGAATATGGTGCCACTACATTGACGATGTACTACTTATTTGGACAGGAACCAAATTAGATCTGGATGGATTCATTAGATTTTTGGATAGCAATTAATTTAACCTCAAATTCACAGTGAATTGTAGTCAAGAGATGGTTACCTTTTTGGATGCAACTATAATCTTGGAAAAAGATAACTATCTTACAACTAGACTATTTAGAAAAAAAGACTACGGGAAATACCTTGCTGCACGCAAAGAGTGGACATCCGCTTTTTCTTAAAAACAACTTACCTTACAGCCAATATCTGAGACTCAAACGGAATTGTTCAAGAGTTGAGGACTTCGAAAGAGAAGTGTTGGCGGTGAAACTTAGACTGCAACAGAGAGGCTATAGCAGAAAAGTCCTTAAGAATGCATATAATAAAGGACAGAGCAGAAATATTCTCTCATGGTTCTCATCCTACTTATCTACGCGCTACTTCAGTGTCACCTACAATTCTAACTCCTCCCCTCCTCTTCCTCTTTATGTATCCTCCAGGACTTCTCTAGTCTCTCCCATTCTCAGGAACTCTTTACCCCAACCTGTCCGTCTATCTCCCACCTTGACTGCCTTTAGGCGTTCCCTAAAGAAATGTTATAGCGTATGGTTCAGTAAAGGAGCTTTAATAGTTCACTTATGTGAAATTACATTTTGAAGTGTTCATTGATTTATTCATGTAAAACATTAACATTTTCGTATGTTGGTTAGATGGAATTGATTAATCTGCAGTGCACATTGAGGTATTAGGGGTGCAGTCAATGTATGGTGTAATGGTGAGATGTATATGCATGGAATAAAGCACATATTTTGATACCGCTCTTATTTTTACTAGGGTTGCACAGATACCAAGTACAGTACTAGGTACAAGTACGAGTACATGTACCGATACTTTTGAGCTTCAAGACTACACTAGAGAAAAATTCAAAAATTAGGAGGCCGCTGTAATTTGTAAGGAGCACACGGAGTTCCTGGGATTTGTACATCTCTGTTTTAATGTATGATTTTGTTTTTAAAACTGATTAAACATACAAGAGTCTTCAAAGATCAATATGGAGAATATTAAATTCTGAATATTGGTATCTGTATGTAATTTGGCTGCATAAGAAGGAATGATAAAAACCCAGATAGGATACACAATTTAAGTCTTTTCATGAATTGGTATTATGCTGTATTTAGGGTACTTATGTCATAATAAACTACATGTTTTTTTCCAAATCTCCAAAACCTTGCAATGGCTTGTGCCTCTTTAAACCCCATTTCTCCTTTTCTTTCTTTTGTATATTTAATCGTATTTTGAGGGGGTGAGGCACTTTCAGAACCAAAGGAAGCAAATTCCTAAAAACAAAAATGGCACCTGGTAACAGTTCTCAGCCAAACTTGCGCTGAAAACTGAAAAATGGCTACAATAGAAAAAAACATGAGAATGCCTAAACATTTTTAATTGCAACAATTTCCTGCGCAAAGTGGTGCATTATCTGACAAATGCAGGGGTGCCAATATATATATATATATATATACACACACACACACACACACACACACACACA